TCGACAAGGACATGAAGGCCATGGAGAGCCGGCAGCACCCCCGCGAGGTACCCGGCTCTGCCCGCCCCGGCACTGCCGCCGGTGACACCCTGTCCTGTGTCCTGTGTCCTGTGTCCCTCCCCAGGGCTGAGCAGCCCCGAATGGGCGGCTGGATGTGTGAACAGCTGGGTGTGTGCACAGCTGAGTGTGTGCACGACTGGAAGCATGCAAGGCTGGATGTGACCCCGGCTGGATGTGACCCCGGCTGGATGTGACCCCAGCTGGATGTGTGCACAGCTGGATGTTGCCCTGGCTGGATGTGCACACAGCTGGATGTGCACACAGCTGGATGTGTGCACAGCTGGATGTGACTCTGGCTGCATGTGTGCAAGGCTGGATGTGTGCAAGACTGGATGTGCACACAGCTGGCTGTGTGCATGGCTGGATGTGACCCTGGCTGGATGCATGCAAGGCTGGATGCATGCATGGCGGGATGTGTGCATGGCTGGATGTGACCCTGGCTGGATGCATGCAAGGCTGGATGCATGCATGGCGGGATGTGTGCATGGCTGGATGTGACCCTGGCTGGATGCATGCAAGGCTGGATGCATGCATGGCGGGATGTGTGCATGGCTGGATGTGACCCTGGCTGGATGCATGCAAGGCTGGATGCATGCATGGCGGGATGTGTGCATGGCTGGATGTGACCCTGGCTGGATGCATGCAAGGCTGGATGCATGCATGGCGGGATGTGTGCATGGCTGGATGTGACCCTGGCTGGATGCATGCAAGGCTGGATGCATGCATGGCGGGATGTGTGCATGGCTGGATGTGACCCTGGCTGGATGCATGCAAGGCTGGATGCATGCATGGCGGGATGTGTGCATGGCTGGATGTGACCCTGGCTGGATGCATGCAAGGCTGGATGCATGCATGGCGGGATGTGTGCATGGCTGGATGTGACCCTGGCTGGATGCATGCAAGGCTGGATGCATGCATGGCGGGATGTGTGCATGGCTGGATGTGACCCTGGCTGGATGCATGCAAGGCTGGATGCATGCATGGCGGGATGTGTGCATGGCTGGATGTGACCCTGGCTGGATGTGTGCAAGGCTGGTTGTGACCCTGGCTGGCTGTGTGCACAGCTGCACGTCAGCGTGGCCGCATGCGAGCGTGGCCGGATTTGTGCCCGGCGGGATGCGCCTGCGGCGTGCCGTGCACGGCTGGACGCGTGCGTGGCAGGACGTGCGTGCCGCCAGATGTGCGTGCGG